ATTTTTACCAACTTCTACAGTCTGAAATTGACCAAATATGCAATCAAGATGTGCTGATTGTCACTGGTAACTGGAATGCAAAAGCTGGAAGCAATGAAGAATCACTGGTAGTTGGAAAATATGGCCTTGGTGATAGAAATAACACTGGAGAACACATGATAGAATTTTGCAAGACCAACGACTTATTCATTGCAAATGATCTTTTTTCAACAACACAAATGGCAGCTATATACACGGACTTAACAAGGTGGAAAACAGGAATTAGATTGACTAGATCTCTGGCAAGAGGGAATGGCAAAGTTCAATATCTTCAGCCAAAACAAGGCCAGGAGCTGACTCTGGAAGAGACCATCAACTGCTCATGTGCCAGTTCAACTTGAAGTTGAAAATAATTAAAACAAGTCCATGCAAGCCAAAATATGACCTTGAGTATATCCCTTCAGAATATAGAGAGCTTTTAAAGAATAGATTTGATGCATTGAACAATGACAGAAATTACAATGACAGAAAACCAGAGGAAGTGAAGGATGACATCAAGAACATCATTGGTGAAGAAAGCAAATGGTCATTTAAAAGAAAGGAAAGGAAGAAAAGACCAAAATGGATGTTAGAAGAGACTCTTAAACTTGCCCTTGAACATAGAGTACCTAAAGCAAATGGAAGAAATGACAAGATGAAAGAACTAAACAGAAGATTTCAAAGAGCAGTTTGAGAAGACAAAGTCAATTATTATATGATTTCCGAGGCAGTACCACTATGGAAGTAGATTGGCAAATCTTCCTTCTGAGGAGTGGCTGGTGGGTTTGAACCACCAGTCTTCTGGTTAGCCGTCAAATGCTTAGGCACTAAGCCACCAGAACTCCTAATTATTATGAGGAAACATGCAAAGATATGGAGATGGAATGCCAAAAGGAAAGAACACACTCAACATTACTCAAGCTGAAAGAACTGAAGAAAAAATTTAAGCCTTGAGTTGCAATAGTGAAAGATTCTATGGATGACACATTGAACGATGCAAGAAAGATCAAAAGATGATGGAAGTACTACACAGAGTCACTGTACCAAAAAGACTTGGTCGATGTTCACCCATTTCAGAAGTTGACATATGATCAGGAACCAATGATATTGAAGGAAGATTTTGAAGCTGCACTGAAGGAAGTGGCAGAAAGCAAGGTTCCAGGAATTGACGAGTACCCAATGAGATGTTTCAACAAGCAGATGCCACACTGGAGGCATTCACTTGGCTATGCGAAGAGATTTGGAGGACAGTTACCTGGCCAACTGACTGGAAAAGAACCATATTTGTACCCATTCCAAAGAAAAGTGATTCCACAGAAGGTGGAAATTATTGAACAATATCATTAATATCATATGCAAATAAACTCTTACTGAAGATAATTCAAAAACAATTGCCTCATTATATTGATAGAGGACTTCCAGAAATCCAAGCTGAATTCAGAAGAGGGCATGGAACAAGGGATATCATTGCTAATGTCGTGAATCTTAGCTGAAAGCAAAGAATACCAGAAAGATGTTTACTTGTGTTTTATTGATTATGCAAAAGCATTTGATTTGTGTGGATCATAACCAATCATGGATAACATTGAGAAGAATGGGAACTCCAGAATACTTAATTGTACTCGTGAGGAACCTGTACATAGACCAGGAGGCTGTCATTTAAATAGAACAAGGGGACATTACGTGGTTTAAAATCAAGAAAGGAGTGCATCAGGCTTGTATCCTTTCACCGTACTTGTTCAATTTGTATTGAATAAGCTGAGCAAATAATCCGAGACAATGGACTATGTGAAGAAGACTGTGGCATCAGGATTGGAGGACGAATCATTAACAATCTGTGATACACTGATGACACAATTTTGCTTGCTGAAAGTGAGGATGACTTGAAGCACTTACTGATGAAGATTGAAGACTACAGTCTGCTGTATGGGTTACACCTCAATACACAGTAAACAACAATCCTCACAACTGGACCTTTAAGGAGCATCATGATAGGTGGAGAAAAGATTGAATTTGTCAAGGACTTCATATTACTTGCTTCTACAATCAACACCAATGGAAGCAGCAGTCAGGGTATCAGATGATGTATTGTACTGGGCAAATCTGCTACAAAAGACCTCTTTCAAGTGATAAAGAACAAAGATATCTCCTTGAAGACTAAGGTGCACCTGACACAAACCGTGGTACCTTCAGTCGCCTCATATGCATGTGAGAGCTGGACAATGAATAAGGAAGACCAAAAAATAGTCAATGCTTTTGAGTTGTGGTGTTGGTGAAAAATGCTGAAAGTGCCGTGGACTGCTAAAAGAACTAACAAATCTGTCCTGGAAGAAGTGCAGTCAGAATGTTCCCTGGAAGCTAGAATGGCCAGACTTTGTCTCACCTACTTTGGTCATGTTGTCATAATGGACCATTCCCTGAAGAAGGATATCATGTTTGGTGAAGTGGAGGGTCAATGAAAAAGGGGAAGGCCCTCCACAAGATGGATTGTCACAGTGGTTACAATGATGAGCTGAGGTATAGCAAGAATCATGGGGCTGGCATAGGACAGGGCAGTTTTTCATTCTGCTGTACGTATATGAGTCGGAGATGACTCGATGGCACATAACAATAGTAACAACAGAGATGCATCTTAAATACTTGGGATTGTAAAGTATTCACACACAAAAAATGCATTTTATTTTAATGTATGACATAACTTTAATCCTTAGTAAACATTGAAAGGGCTATGGTGGTGCAGTGCCTAAGACATTTGACTGCAAATCTTCTATCAGGCACCCTGCAGAAGGAAGATGGAGCAATCTACTTCCGTAAACATTTACAGCCTAAAAAATTCAATGGGGGTCACTAAGAGTCAGAATTGACTTGACAGTAGTGGGTTTTTGGGGTGTTGTTTTTTTTTTTTTTTTTTTTTTTTTATAACAGGTAAAGCATTTGGCTGCTAACTCGAAGGTCAGCAGTTCAAACCCACCAGCTTCTCTGTGGACGAAGATAAGGAAACCCAATGGGGTCATTATGAATCAGAATCAAGTTGGTGGCAGTGGGTTTGGTCGTTCAGTAGGAAACATTAAGCAACTTTTATGTGCCAGAAAATGTATTAGCCTCTAGAGCTTCACCCTGAGCAATTTCTGCCTTCAGGAAACCCATATTCTTATGGAGAAACACATATAAAAACAAATGCTATATTTGTTTTTACAAGATAAATGCAATGAGAGATTTATTGCACAGGCAATAAGGAGGCAAATTAGAAGTGTGTTCTGGACTCAAAGACTGATAAAATGCAAAAGATAATATTAAACCCTATCTTTTCTTTCCACTCTCACCAAGAATGTGAATGAATTGACTGTAGGCAGTCCCTAGATTATGAACAAGTTCCATTCCTAAATCTGGATTTAAATCAAAGTTGTTCATAAGTCAGAACAGTTAAGTACAGTTTGTATCTAATGTGAGTTAGTCCAAATGTTTGTCTTAGGATATAGTATACAGTGTACTTCCGTAGTGATACTGCCTCAGAAACCCAGGAAGGGATCACTATGAGTCAGATCCAACCCATTGGCAGTGAGTTTGGTTTTTTTGAGTTTGGTGCCTATCTATGCATAAAAAACATTAAAGAAACACTTCCAGATACACTAAAACATCTTTCACAGAATAATACAATAGTAATATTTTAATACTTATCACAATGCAGTGCCGATTTGTTATTATGAGCCATTGTGGGGTTTATAGGGATTGGTTCATAACTACAGTTGTACTTAAATTGGGCATTCATAACCTGGGGACTGCCTGTAATTTTGGAAAAAAAAACAAACCAAACTCATTGACTTGAGTAAATTCCAACTCACAGTGACCCTATAGGACAGCATAGAACTGCTCCCCGAGGGGGGCTGTAATCTTTCTTGAAACAGACTGCCACCTCTTTCTCCCACCAAGCAGTTGGTGGGTTCAAGCCTCCAACCTTTGGATTTTCAGCTAAGTACTTTAACCACTGTGCCACTAGGACTCCTCAAAATAAGCCAAAAGTAAGTATGTGTTATATAATGCAGAAAGTATTATGTGAACATTTGCAAATGAGAGATATTAAATGAGGAAGGGAAGGATGAAGGAACCAGCCCTCCCCTAAAAAAAAAAAAAACACCATTTTCAATCTCTTTCAGAAAGGCACCAAACCAAAAACCAAACTCACTGCCATGGAGTTGCTCCTGACTCATGGCAACCCCTCCTTGGGTTTCCAAGCCAATATCTCTATGGAAATAGATTACCCTATCTTCCTTCGGAGGAGGAGCTGGTGGGTTTGAATCGCCAACCTTATGATTAGCAGTCAAAATGCCTTAGGCACAACACCACCAGAGCTCCTACCAGAAAGGCAAGTACTAATAAAAGCAGGCAAATTCTGAGCAAGTTACCCAAGTCTGTTCTTCAAAGAGTCTCCTCAAACCTGCTAGTGAGTTTGATTCCATGGCTGCAACTTCTTGACTCTAGCATACAGAAGTGACCAAGACACATAACCTTAGCTGAAAATTACCTGTTAGTTTTATTTACAACAGTGTTTTTCTACCAAATGCAAGTAAGTGAAAAGATAGATAAATAGATATAGATAAATACTGAGGTACAGGATGTGCTATTGAAATGCTGAGTTTTAGTAGCTTTTAACCCAATGTAATTGATCTTAACACTCTGCTTAACCTACAGACATTCTCAAAACACCTATTCTCCAAACCAAGTCTTTGTGGCTGATCAGAGTTGCTTTTATTTATTTATTTTTTTAAGAACTCAAAGTAGAGCTATGATTCCAATTTACTCTGCAGTGTGAGGTATTATTTTGCAGAGAAATAGCTATTGGAGAGTGAAAACTGTTCAGCTGGAGAGTAAATGGCCATTTAGATCAGACAAATATGAGCTGAGGAAGCAGGAAAAGTGATTAGGCAGGGAAAGAAGGTGAGCAAAGGTGGAATTGAAGGTGTGGTGTGTGTTTTCCTCCTCAGACTGAAGCAGCTCTGATGTACGATGCCGTGTACATGCTGGCCATCGCCTCCCATCGGGCCTCGCAGCTGACCGTCAGCTCCCTACAGTGTCATCGACACAAGCCATGGCGCCTTGGGCCCAGATTTATGAACCTGATCAAAGAGGCAAGTGCTGCCCCTCACACTTCCCTTTGGCTTAGCGTTGTTCTAATTGTCCATTTGGTGTTGTCCTTCTCACATGATTCTGTTGGCATGCTGTCTGTAGGCAAGAGGAAGCCATTGCTAAGTAGTCTGCTGGGACTTCGGTGGTAAAAGTTTGTCTAGAAGAGCTGTCAGGAATATTCCACTGTGACGTTGGGAAGTTCAAAGAAGTTTGTTGTTGCTTTTTTTTCCAGTGAGTCAGCTCTGACTTACGTATGATGACCTTACAAATAACAGAACCAAAAGATGCCAACTTTATGGTTGTTGGTATGTTTCTGTCCATTTTTGTGGCTATTGTGTTAATCTATCCTCTCATTGAGGATTTTTGCCCACTCTCTACTTTTCCAAACATGATGTCCTTTTGTAGATTTGTCTTTCCTGATGATATCAGTATGACAAACTGATAGACAGGTGGTGGTCCTAGAAGCTACTATATCATAACCTTAATCCTCTTTCATTTCAACTATGGCCCAACTCTTTCTTGTCCTCCACACATGTACAGGGGAGCTCACAGGTACTTGTCCCATGGTCTGTTTGGTCAAGTAGAGTTTGGACTATCACTGAAAGGTAACAAAGATAAATTCCACATGTCAGTCCGGTCCACAATCTCAGGGCCCCCTAAGGTTTGGGTTGTATATGACTGAATGGAAACCTCATTATCCTTAATGATGTAATCATTATTTTCTAATTGCTCAGTTAACCTGAAAAGTATAGTCCCTTCAAAGCTTGCCCAGTGTGCTAAATATTTTCCAAGAGTATAGGTTTCTCACTATTGTCCTAGAATCCTGAACTATATGCCACCCTTTCCTCTCATCTGAAGCAATTTGACTTACTCTAACAAGACTTAATTTTAGGATCTCAAGACTCTTTGACTTAGTTATCTAGTGCTGTCATAATAGAAAAACCAAAAATGGTGACTTTAAATTTAAAATAACTTTCTCACATTTCTGAGGGCTAAAAGTCCAAATCAGAGATCTTCCTTGTGGGAAGTCCCAGACATTCTTTGGTTCCTTGGTGATCTTCACGTGGCATCAGTCTTCCCCCATATATATGCATATGCCTATGTCTATATGGAACTTTTTATACCTCGAAGGGATTAGGTTTAGGATTCATCCTATATTGACATGAATTTAATCGATCAATTGATTGTATTACATTACATTTGGTGTAAGATCATTACATTATATCCACAGGTATAGGGATTAGGATTCCAGCACATATTTGGAGGGGAGATGCCCAATTCAATATGTAACACTGTTGTTGTTGTTGTTGTTATTTGCCATCGAGTCGGCCCCAACTCATAGCGACCCCTCCTTGGGTTTCCGAGGCAGTATCACTACAGAAGTAGGATTGCCCAACCTTCCTTCCGAGGAGTGGCTGGTGGGTTTGAACTGCCAGCCTTCTGGTTAGCAGTCAAGTGCCTTAGGCACTATGCTACTAGAGCTCCTATGTAACACTCATTCCTAGTAAATACATATACTTGAAATATCTTTGACTCCAACCCATACCTCAGGATGTGTCTGGACTTTCCTGGGAGATGGTAGACCTGACTTAGTAAATATATTTTCTCTATAGCACACAGAGATTTACATCTTAGGACAAGAACATCTTTTTCTTTCCCCTCTGTCTGTACTGCAGAAGTTTGGGATGAGACAAAACCATAAAAGAGAGGAATGAGAGGGAACACAGTACAAGAAAAAAATGCCCAGCAGAGAGGGGCATCAAGCCTATGGAAAGATGCTTACCTTTGGCACTGTTTCCACTGGTCTCTTTAGTACCTGTAGACCCTCTCTCAACTATTTACTCCACTTCCCAATTGAAGGTTGATGCTGACCACTAAGGGTGAGGACCAGAGAGTCAGGATGTATAAGGGTCAAGTACCCTGAATCTAAAGCAAGGCCCCTTGCAGATTGCAAGTCTTGGACTAGAGAGTGGCAAGTAGGAAAACAATGCTGAGGACTCATGATATAAGGGAGTACTCACTTTCAGGTGTGGACCTTGCACTTGCATGAACCTGACAGTGAATACTTCCTTAAATTGTGTTCCCTGGGTACTGCTTTTACCTTATCCTAGCCCTAAATTCCTGCTCTGCTGACACTTCCAAAAAAAAAAAAAAAAAAAAAAAGCAACTCACTGCCATAGAGTTGGTTACGATTCATAGTGACCCTATTGGGTTTCCAAGGCTGTAAACTTTACAGAAGTAGATTACTTCATCTTCCTTCCACAGAGCAGTTGGTGGCTTTGAACCACCAAACTTCAGGTTAGCAGTTAAATGCCTTGTAATTTGTGCCACCAGAGCTCCTTTCTGCTGACACTTAGGAGCTATGTAACCTGGGTTAGTTACTTAAACTCCCAGAGTTTCAGTTTTCTCACCAGTAAAACGGGGATCACAAGAGTATTTACTTTGTACTGTTGTGATGATAAAGAATAAGGTAAATAAATGTGAAGAACAATGCCAACATATAATAGGAACTCTGAAAGATTAGCTCTTCTCTTTTTAGTGAAATGGACCTCTAATATTGGGCCCATTCAGTTTGCTGAGGATGGTGCCAGAAATGTAAAGCTAGCAACAACAACAACAATAAAGGAATCAGAAATAGGCATGAAATGAAATACCCTTTCTGACAGCTACATAAATCTAACATACTGTGTGTAATAGAAAAACATCACACAAACTCCTTCTCTCCCTGTAGTGATCATAGTGATGTCCTGAATCACCATCCTGATTACCTTGATCTTTAACAAGGAAACAGCTGGTTTCCTTTTATTTTGTACCAGTGCAAGTAGAGGCAGAAGGCCACATGAAAGATTGGGATCAAGCACCTTTTTTGCATGAGATGATAACATTACCAACTTACATTTGTACATGTTTAAAGAAATATTGAGCCCCAAGATGGAAGGCTACTTTGGAAACAAGACAGCATTTTATATTCATTCACCTCAAAAGAGCAAATTCCCCCTCCACTGTTGTGGGGAGGGGATGTGAAAGAAACCTTTATCACCATTGTGCTCAGTCTTGTCTTCTGTCCCTTGAATCACGACTCCATATGCTCCCTTTGGCAGGATGTAGGTACCTGCAGAGAAGATGGGATAGTGGGTAACCTGCAGCAGTGCCATAGCCTGTCAGAGGACTGGCATTGAGGGAATTCTGAGGTGAACTAAAACATACAAAAATGAGAAAATGTAGATACTTACTTATATGGTGCATAACACAACTTTGCAGGCAGCAGGATTTACTAGATAAACAGCTGTTGTCACGTTGACTCTGACTCATGGCATGACCTTAAATACAACAAAACAAAATGTTGTCTGGTCTTGCATCATTCTCACCATCACTGGCACATGCAAGTGGACTGATTGTTGTGGCTATTATGCCATCCCATCTCACCCTTGTTCTTGTACTTCACCAAAAGTGATGTCTTCCACCAAAGAGTGATTTCTCCCAATAAACTATCCAAAGCAAGCCAATTGGATGATTTTTTTTTTTAATTTTCAAAGTTTTTATTGGCTAATTTTCAGAAGTAGATCACCAGGTCTTTCTTTCTAGTCTGTTTTACTCTGGAATCTCTGCTGAAACCTGTCTACCATGGGTGACACTACTGATATTTGAAATACCAAGAGAATTTATTAGGAAACTTCCCTAGATCCTTTCTTTTACTAATTATCACATCTTAAAGGGTTTAAAAAACCACAATCAGAAATAATGCAAAGGAGAAAGTCAGCAGATTGTATTTATGTGAAAATAACATTTGTCAGAGGAAGTAGACTTCTCAAGCATGGAGGTGTGTATGCACTATTCACTGATAACTCACACATCATTCAGAATCAGTAACCCTTTCAGATATCCCTTTCAGATATCCCTTTCCAACTGTTTTTAGATGGGGCAATCTACTTCCGTAGTGATACTGCCTGGGAAACCCAAGGAGGGGTCGCTATGAGTCAGGTCTGACTCAAAGGCACATAACAACCACAACAACTCGAAAGAAGTGTAGAATTAAAGAACATTTTAAACATGACTATGTGTTACAGTATTATATTTCTGGGCATTTGCTAAAAATATGCTTATTACTCTTTACTGTCAAATTGAGTCCAACTGATGGCAACCCCATGTGTCCTCATGTGTTACAGAGTACAAGTGCCCCACAGCGTTTTCTTGGTTGTAGTATTTATGGAAGCAGTTTACCAGGCCTTTTTACTATAGAGCCACTTAGTGGGTTTGAACAACCAGCTTTAGATTAGCAGCCAATAGCAAATCAATTGAGGCACCCAGGGACAATCAAATGCTGATTTAAAACAAACAAACAAACTCACTGCTGTCAAGTTGAATCCAATTCATAGCAACCCCTCTTTGGGTTTCCAAGGCAATATCACTACAGAAGTAGATTGCCCAATCTTCCTTCTAAGGAGCAGCTGTTGGGTTTGAACTGCCATCCTTCTGGTTAGCAGTCAAATGTCTTAGGCACACCACCAGAGCTCCTATCAAATGCTGATTAGGAAATTATAAAATCCCCAGTTCAAAAAGCATTACTGGGGCTCCATTATGGAAGTAATAATAACTTGTCACTGTACGGAATACCCTCCACCCAAAAAGAAGTAGAAAATGTGCTTCTTATGCACAGCCACTGCCCAGCTCAGTGGAGGCTTACACGTTGCCATGATGCTGAACATATCTCAGTGGAGTTTCCAACAAAGACAGACTAGAAAGAAAGGCCTGGTGATCTACTTTCAAAAATTAGCCAATGAAAATCCCATGGATCACGATGGTCAGATCCCATTGTGCATCAGGTCATCATGAGTCAAGGGCCAACTCCATGGCAGCTAATCACAAACACCATCATTAAATGTAAGTTTCTGCAGAAAAAAAAAGAAAAGAAAAGGAAGCTCTGGTGGCATAGTGCCTAAGGCATTTGACTGCTAACCAGAAGGTCGGTGGTTCAAACCCACCAGCCACTCCATGGAAGGAA